TTTAGTGGTTAGAATAATAATATTCACAATGTTTTCAGTATGTTTAGCATATTTAGTAGTGCTAAAAACCGCATCCTTTCTCACAATACTAATCTGCAGTATAATCCTGAAAATACACAACATGATTTGCAAAAATCGAGAGAGTTATGAAGGTAATGGAATGAGAAACATTATAAAATCCACATAAAATATGTGATTACCAATTTCTACTAATATTTGCTTAAAATGTTTGAGCAGATTGGATTAAGAAAATACAGAATGTTCATTTTCGGTAGGTGATTCATTTTTTTAGCACTACTGTAACTGTCAAATTAGAAGTATTCAAATCACAAAAATATTATTTTTCAAATCTGCCACCTTATTTGTGGTCAGTTTGGTTATTATTGCAATAACATTCACATTCAGGCGTTATACTAACTACAATAACATAGCAACAGCTTCCATTCCCTTAATAACTTGTGACAATGCATGAAGCGAAGAGTTTTTTAAGATTCTCTATTCGTTCCCCTTACGAATTGATTTCGTTTTTAAATTATTGGTTTTCGGTCGTTAAACACAGAGTAAGAGGATTTATATTACGCGCCATCGCCCATCCGGCTTTAACCAGAGCCAAACAGAATACTAGAATACCCTATTTCTCCAGAGGACACTGCTTTGACTGCAAAAAAATGTGCTTTCAATTTGCTGCAATGATGGAGGCGCTTCAGCCACTCTGTGTAGTATATTATAGCAAGTTGATTTCTACCAAAAGTATTGTAATCGTACGTTGGAAATCAACGATTTTTCAACAGAAAAACTCATTGTCGGACCATGGTAACGAAAAGGGCTGTTGTTTTTTTCCTCTAGAAGTGCCCTCTGGACCGGAGCCCGTCTCTGCGCGCGACCACCTGGAACACCGGCCCCGCGCTAGATTCCGGCATGAAGGAGCCCTTGTCACCCTTGTTAGCAACAATGACTCCTATTTATTTAAATCATTATAAAGAATATGACTCATCCTTCAAGAATAAAGCAATGCTGCAGATTTCTGAATCTTACACACCGCTGGGAACAACACACAAACAAATCACACTAGCTCGAAAAAAACATGATGTCGTTGCACCACGTGCGTGAGGCCCTGGAACACTCGCAAACAAACTCTGAAAGTCGCGCTTTCCTGTTGGTCGCACGTCAAGAGCAACTGTGATGCCAGACGTGGTCGACCAATAGCAAACACCCAGCCGTGACGTCACCGCCAGCTTTCTTGATGGTGGGGGAACTGTGTGCTCAGCGTTGTGAAAGTAAGGCTTACCGATGAGCTATGGTAACACGACAGGTGAGTTCGTCCGGCGCACCGATTTCTGCCCGTACTACGTACCACGTACTTGCGTGAACCACATCACGGACACTCCTTTTGAAAAACCAGACCAGACGCTGGCCGCCATGTTGCATGGGGTGTTGAGAAATATTTTGAAAGCGGTACAAAGTGACAATTTTCAACGATAACCAACCAAAAATAACACGATGGGGTAACAAGATCCAATATATACAAGAAATGCTTCATAAATCAGTTTCAACGTCTTGTGAGGCGATTTTGGTATGACTGCATTTAAAATTCCCGCTAATATTGTGACGCAAAATAGTGTTAGAAGCTCGTTGGCTGAAGTCGGATACGATGCGCCAGAGGCCCTCCCCTTGGAATGAGCCGTTGCGTAGCCTATCCGTCTGCAGCCAATGAGATTAACGCACACATTTGCGTCACAATATTAGCGGTAATTGTAAATGCACACAGATTCCAAAATTATCACATTGTTACAAGTCATTGAAACTGATATATAAAGCTCCTGTCTGGATAGCCAAGGTCGCCAATGCCTCGTGCCTCAAGGGTCGCGGGCTCAAATCTCGCCCGGGGCATAGATGTTTGTGTATCCACATACGGTTTCATCCAATGACACAGTCAGAGGCGGGATTTTCGATATTTCATTGGTAGGGGAAAGGATCCCCCTCATAAATGGTAAAAAGTTCCCCTAACCAAATGACATATGAATAGTTATACTATCATTCTAACATAAAAATAATATTTTTAAAGATTTCTTGGCCCCCGTTCTACCACCCACACCCGTTTACAGCCAGAAAGATGTTTTTATTTTAATTTTTTCGTCAACTTAACACTAATATGACACGCTTTTAAATGAACATAACATGGATACAGCAACGCGGAATCAGCGGTCTGCCGTACAAAAAACTGTTACTACTGTAGTAACAGAAGGTATTGTTTTTTCCCGTCTAGACCAATGAGAATGTAGTAAAACAGTTGTTAATTAGGAATTATTATAAATTGCATTGTTTTAGAATTTAAAAAAGTATGAGGGAGGCTGTTTCAGTTAATAATTACTGAGAGAGTATTTAATACATATTATATTGGGCGAATTGGTCGCGTAATAATTTCTTTGAAAAGTGGTGTGATTGTTTCAACATCACGAGAAGCGATGGGGCCAAGTTTACGCTAGAATAAATGATTGAAATACAGGAAACAAATTAAATCATTTATACACGCCTGGCTGAAACATGCGGCAAGGGCGCGCATGACAGATTTAATAGTTTTAAAAGAATAAAAACTTACTTGTTAATTTAATAAAAGTATGCTCAAGATGCGCGGATACATGGCTAAGCTACATGCATGTATGGAATATAGGTGTGCACGAGACATTCTTAATTGTGTCCCGAACATCAACCAATATACATGTTGAATTGTGAATACAGATGGAAATGAGCGTTTGTTCGTCGCTTAGTGATGAGAATTTGGGGATATTTTCTTAGATGTGAAAACGTTTGGCTCATTTAGGATTTCATGTTCAGACAAGGAGCAACAGTAATTCGTGTTAAAACGAGCAGATTTGGAGAACATTACCATTCTATAGCATTATTTATTATGTATTTTTCGATCTACACTGGCGGGGAAAAAATATTGCAACACTGGGAAGGGCACAAGCAATCAAGTAGGCGATAAGGGACGTTAGGGATGGGGCCGTAAAAGCCGTGATTAGCCATCTACTTCGCGGCTTTAAAAGGCGCTGTCCACTGTGATATGTTCTAGTCGGGACGTAGGTATGCCACGGCGTCGCACTCGTTTGTCCTCTAAGCAATTGGACCATTTTGAGCGGGGTCGAATTGTCGGCCTGCGCGACGCCAGGTGGTCTTTAGGCGCATTGCTGATCACGTGGGCGACGATGGGTAGACGAACATTCCCACAGCCGTAGACCCACTTCAAGGCGAGCGCGCTGCTCTGAAGAACGTCAAGATCGACGCATCGTGAGGGCGGCGTTGGCGACCGTACACCCACCCGCGCCGAGATAAGGCACATATGGCCCTCGTGTGTTTCCACGCACCGTTGGGAACCTGTTACTTTCTGCAGGATTTCAATCGCGCAAACCGCTAGCACGGCCACTCACGCCGAACCACTGTCGGGCACGTCTGGCGTCGTGCAATGGGCAGGTCAGTTGGGAGACGGAATGGCGTGCAGTGGTTTTCAGTGATGACAGCCGCTTCTGCCTCCTCGGCAGTGATGGTCGTGTGCGTGTGCGACGTCGCACGGGCGAGCGCGTGCATCCGGAGTGTGATCGTCCACGTCTCGTAGGGCCTACCCCGAGAGTGATGGTGCCGGGTGCCATCCGCCAGAACGCGCGTTCGGCTTTGGTGTTCGTGGAGGGATCATTGACCAGCGCTGGATGCATCCAGCATGTTGTGTGGCCTGTGCTGATACCTTTCTTGCAATTGGAGGGTGGTGCGCTGTTCCAGCAGAACAATGCCCGCCCTCACACAGCCCGCGCTACGCAACACGCTCTCTGCGATCGATGTTCGTCAACCGTCCTGGCTGGCACGCTCGCCGGTTTTGCCCCCGATCGAGCAGGTGTGGGACATGATGAGCCAACGCCTGACCCGTGCTGCGACTCCCCCAACAACTCTGCTTGCTCTCCGAAAGGCGGTGTGGGAGGCACGGAACACTTTACCGCAGGACACCATTCGCCACCTGTACGAAGGGAAGCCAGCGCGCCTCAGAACTGCCTGCAGCGGAAACACGCATTATTTATGTGGGGTTTCCGGTCCATGGTTCTCTCTGTTGCTAGAAATGCGAGTCTGACATGGCTCTGTACGTGTAATCATGCATAGTATTATGTCTGTGTGTGCTGTATCTATACGGAGGAATAAATTGGACAATGCAATCAGAGTTTTTCCGCCGGTGTAGTTGCATTTGCTTTTCAGCGCAGTCAGTGTTACCACGGCACATGGTGTTATCGTTGTTGTATAATGTTATTTGGCTGTAAAATGTTTATGCCACACAAACCGTTCATTGTTGCTTTAAAATAGCGTTGGCAACAACGCGCTGTAGCGAAATCCTCTGCCGGTGGTCGATCGTATTCTTTATTAACTTTGTTTTGTTAACTTTCTCGCAAACTGCTTACGCAGAACATTTTAAGGTTAAAATACGCCTCGGAAATGTTCGAGGGTACACTGAATACAATGCCAGAAACATATTTCATTTCAAATTTTGAAATATATATATATAT